AGTTAAATTCATTAATCTTCGGTTGTCTCTTCACTCTTATCTTTTTCGCAATGTTTTGAAGATGTATCAAGTGCTTTTCGATATACTATCTCAAAATGGTCGACAATACCTCAATAGGAACATAAATCTTATTTTTCCTTCTCAAATAATCCAGCAAATCACAAACAATCTAGAACTGCTTGACCGTGTACTTTAGACTAGATAGAATCCAAAAAATCGTCTCAATCTAGTTCCAATATGAACACTGGAAAAATTGGAATCACTTCAGCCCATTCACAAAACTAGGAGCAGCCTGTGTTTGCCTTAATTGTAGTTGCCGATGGTCTTAAACATATTGTGACAACCTCAACGATGATTACTCGAGGCTATAGTACACAACAGTTGTAGCAACAACACCTAATGGAGGCTTTAGCGCGCGAAAGTTGCGTGGCTAGAAGCTATAGCACATGGTAGTTGTCTTAACGTTTGGGTAATGGATGTGGTTACATGCCGTTAATCACGCGTTTGAATGATAGAATGTGATTGGAGCATTTTGCAGAACAATTGGTGGCTACTTTTCACATCATCTTGTATATGTGCCTAGCCGAGAAGTTGAATCCATACACACCATCATCACATTTTATAAGAAATCACTCAAATAAAGCTACAGTAGAAATTTATTGAACCCATGCCCCCCAAATTTATGTGATTGGGCTGAAACTATACAAATGCCTGATAATAATCTAGATATAATTTACATCAAAAGCAGGATTCGACAAATTTTATCCGTTGTACAATTTAATCTATAGTCTAATTAAGTTTTTCTGATGCTTACCGAGTTCCTTTTTGATGCATAGCAAAATTGAAAAAAACTTCAAAACTTGTATTAAAGTTCCAGAAATTTTCTAGAATCAAGGTACAACGTATGACAGAAACTTCAACATAACAATGCAAAGCTATAAAATTTGTATTGAAAGAAAGTCTACTCAAACTAGTTGGGAAAGTATTGTTTGACAATATGAAACAAGCTTTATACATTTTCCCGTCACTCAACACAACAGTTATCTGTTACCCAAATGATAAGATTCAAAGTTTACCTTCGATTTGTAAGGCTTTGACATTAATTTGAAGATTGTTCAATATCCCAATGTTTTCCCTCATCTGATTATGAATTCCGAACAGTAGATTCAACTCTTTTTTCACCATAGATCTGACT